TGACAGATTTAAACCCGAATATTGTTAACAGAGGCTTCAGATCTGTGAGAAACGTAACTCTCTGATTGTACAAATACTTGTGGCGAACAGCAAACACAAGGGCAAGAGCCTCTTTCTCTATCTGGCTGTACTTCTTTTCTGCTGGGGTTTAGTGTGCGGGATGCATACATAACGGCTTTTTCTGACGCGTCTGGAAACTGATGCGAAATGAATGCACCCAGGCCATACATTGTAGCGTCTGCAGCCACAATGATCGGCATGGTTGGATCGTAGTGCGTTAATCAAAATTCGGAGCTATTCATGGACTTGTGTTTGCAAAGCGCTGCGTCACACTATTTAGTCCAGTTCCAAGTGCTGTTCTTCTGCAATAGACAATTCAATGGAGTGCGAATATCATGCATCGAAGAAACGAACGCCGAATAATAACTGATAAATCAGAGAAAAGATCGTAATTCTGAGACATTAGTGTCGGTAGGCATAAGTGTGGTAGCTCAAACGTTCTCAGGATCCGGTTTGCGGCCGTCGGCATCAGAGATTAATCTCATATACTTTACTGACAGCAATAAAAACTGACATTTCTCTGGATGTAACCGAAACCCGCTGTCACTGAAGCCTTGCAGTTCCAATGTCGGGCGTTTCTGTAGTTGATTTTATGTCGTCGCAACAATTAACATATGATCGAGAGAAGCTGCGACCCCCGAGATACCTGATAGTATGGTATTCGTAAGTTGCTCGAAGATAGATGGGGCAGTCTCAACTCCAAAAACCGGACAGTTGTGCCGGAACAAACCACGATGAGCATTGATAGTAAGCAGCTATTTTGATGCTTCATCTACTTCCACTTGCAAATAAGCATCAGCTAGATCCAGTTTTACGAAAAACCTACACACATTTAGTATAGTAACACAGACCTGCTAGAAATGACAGGGGATAATGACGCTGTTCCAGAGCTGCATTTAGACCTGAGGAAAAGTCAGCACATATATGTATCATAGCGTTGGCCTTCTTGATAACGACCATAGGTGCTGCATAAGCAGAGTAAGAAACGGGATCAATAACTTCTTGTTGTTGAAGGCGACTCAGATCTTCCTCTACTGTTGGTAATATTGCATAAGGCTCGAGTCTCTTTGGACGGCAAATGGGCTTAGCTCAAGGTTTCAACCGAAGAGGTGTTTTCATGACAGAACACTGATCTACTGCAGGTTGGAAACTGCGTCATCTGATTCCTCGTATATGTGGTTGTGATGCCAGGTGACCCGCGGTATTTGACAGGAAATAAGCTAATTTTAACTGGTCGAACTAATCTAAATCAAGTATATTTAGACCAGCAAGCGTTATATAATACACCCCAGCAAATGACGAATCTCGAAAATAACTTTACAATCCAATTGTTCTAAAAGGAGAAGGTAATTACCACATGCAGTATGAGGCTTTTGTGTTGTTGGTTGCAGGCTTGGTCTGACCAGTACGGTTCGAACTCTGCGTCAGAGGATGGTGACATCAGATGCTGTATCTATCTGCAATCTGGACGGATGCCCAATAATAAAAAGTGTAATTAATTTACCCACACCTGGTGATGACAGAAAGTTATTAGGCTAAATGAATCGGTACCGGATCTCGGAACAGATTTCTTGGCTCTTCTGGATCGACTCGGCTTTCTATTTAGGCAAAAGCCGTCTTAATAACCGATGATCTCACACTTCCTGCATCGATGATCCTTAAATGGGCAGTTTCGTACATAGTACTATGAAACACAGTGACAGCTGGGGAATTCATTTTCGACTTGACCCACTACCCTGTACTATAGCTGTGTCTCTTTGTATATTACTGAGACGTTGGTATTCTTGAGAGCAAGATAATTACGATTATTCTTAACTGAATATTAAAATAAGCGATTCGAAAAGGAATTAAGGGATGATGAGTAGTTCCAATTGGTAGTTAAGCTCAAAACTTGCAGTATAAGAAAATCCTGTTCAACATGGGTCATTATGACTGATTAATACCACCCGACATCTCCAGGTATTTTAATGACATTTGAATTTAATAGTACAGTGCTTCTATTAGTATCGTATCGTCTTATGATTTATTCTTAAAACATCACCATTAATAATGCTCAGAGATATGTGAACAGAAATTTTATAAAGTGGCAACTACTACTCGTTGTTCCTGCTACTTAACTCCACATCAGTTCATCACCAGTTTCATATGCATTAACAACAACCTCATCTCATCAATCGATTTCCTTGTTTACCCCCTAAATATCAACAACTCTACAACAAAGAACACTTGGTTGACAGTATCATAAATAACGTACTATATAATTCGTCTAGATTCACTCGAGATAGTTACAACCTTAGTTGCATAGAGGGACAGAGTTACGAACAGTTTTCAAGATTAGCAGTCACTTAACATACATCACACGTGTTAATTCGAAATAAAACGAAGAACTTTATGAAAACAATGGAATGACTTAACAAAATATCCTTTACATAATGAGAGACAAACAATAAAAAATCATTCGATGAATTTTTGGAACCAACTCTCGACCGAAGCCACTACCTTGACATGGTGGTCGGGCTTGACTATCGTGATGACCCAATCGAGCTATATTGGCTGCAACATATGTTCCCTAAGGTTCTACCATGCCACTCAGGTCGATTGGATGATGGTGAGACTAAAAGCAGCTACTCAAGGTCTGAGGGCGAAGTCGTACTGGTGACAGCAGTAAGGTGTTTCTCTCGGACAACCAGCATCTGTAGCGATGCTGCCTTCTCACAAGAAAGGAAGGGTTAGAAAAGGTCAACCCTAAAAATATCACACCTCACCCTACCTCACAGGTTTCCGTCTCCGGCGGTAAGGGTGCCCAATAAGGGCTTTCAAGAGCGGAGCTAACGCTCAAAATACTTCTCATAAAAAGGCCGTGCGTGACAGGCCTCAAGCAGTTGTCGATTGGATTCTGCGATCACACTCTCTGGTCTCTAAGACCGACACTAATCTACTTTCTTTTTCACGTTCCTCAAGAAACTACCTTCCACGGTGTGGACAGCCGGGAAGTATCAACCGCTATCATACCCGTAACAGTGCACAAGACCAAATTGGTCAAAATCAAATCCTTTCTATAGCCCCTAATACCTCTCTTATCTCCACGACTAACTCTTCTCACATTCTTTTATCACCCCGCACCTCTGCTGCAAACGACTCGAGTTCCCGAAACGTCATTCCTGGTCTCCTGAAACGCCGTTCTAAACTACACCTTGAAGCATTTAATGTACGGACATTGTGTCAAATAGGGTAACAAGCTTCATTATCTAGAACTTTAGAACCTCGTTCAATCGATGTATGCTGCGTCTCGAAAACGCGCATACAGGATCCTAGTAAAATCATTGATTTGATTTCACCTTGTCAAAACAAAGAAGCAGCTCGATTTACTCTTCGTGTATCCGGTAGCCCTGATGCTCCTTCAAAGGGTCTCGCTGGTGTAGGTATAGCATTGAGTCGTAGGGCTGGATCCCATTAGATAGTCGATTGTGCGTTGTCCGAATAAACGGGACAGTAAGAACTCGGAAAGATAGGGAGACCCGTCGTTGCCTCTTCGTCATATCAGCCTATGCCCCCATTGACTGCAGTTCAGACGATGTAAAAGATGAGTTTTACAGACAGCTTTCGGATCTCCTCCAAAACGTTAAGTTCTCTGATATAGCTATAATGGCTGGTGACTTCAATGCCCAAGTAGGTAGACTAAGTGAGCAGGAGAGACACCTTGGTGGATGTTATGGCGTCGCGGCTCATAGAACAGACAATGGCGACCGCCTGCTGCAGCTATTCGGGATGCGGTCTTCCTCCTCGAAATGCAAAATGTTGCTTTAAGATTGGGTTTCTTCGGCACCTGAACTAGTGATAGGGAGTGATGTAGTCGAACGTGTAGACCGCTTCACTTATCTGGGGAGTCTCATCAGTGCCGATCGCCTGGTGACCGACGAAATCTCTGCACAGATACAGAAGGCTCGATTGGGCCAGTCAGAGTAGAAGATATTCGTAGGTTGCTTGTTATCGAATATAGGTATCGCTGAAGCATTGCGCGTGTACCGTGTGACAACCGAGTAAGCAATTATTAGGAAATTTATCCTAGGTAGGGATGTCTGATCAATAGATGGAGTATAGAAACTTCATCATATGTTACGAATGCCTAACCACCGACTGCCGCGATGAGCTATGTTTTGTGGTGTAGTAGTAGGATGTAAGAAAGCCAGTGGCGGCCAGACCAAAACATGGCACAAGTCCATGAAGTTACTGACGAGTGGACTGATTCATGTTGGTAGATGTAGGCTACGTGGTTGGGGTCCGCGAGACGATAGGCACCAATGGTTAGAGACCTTGAATGACATGGCTCAGAATCGTTTGCAATGGCGCAGGTGCATCCACTCTTTGTGTTCTCTCTAATTCTAAACTTCTGAATTCCTCATAATCTCTATCTTTCTCCTTCTAAATTTATCTCACTGACTTATACTTCTCCAATCATATGTTCGAACTATAATCTTCTACATTACTGCTAATACTTCTGCTATCACTATCACTCTTGGATTTGAATTAACAGTTGCGTCTCTGTGCTGATGGGATATGGCAACGTGAAATGATGTACTTACGTACGAAGTTCAACGTCGTATCTGTCTCTATGTCTGTCTGGAACTAACTACTCAAACAACTACTTATTGTTAACTCGACAACTGAATTGATATTTTCATTAGGATTTCTCAATAATTTCATTATACATTAAACTAATTACAAATCATTTATGGAATTTGACTCATTCATAACATATAGTGTTGCTGCATTAAAACTGCTGTAAATACATATTCATTGCCTAATAACGTTATGCAATACGGATTGTTACACCTGCTATGACAGAATTACTATCATTATTATGATTATTAGGTATACAAGTAATAAATCACTGTGTAACTACTACTCTGATAACAAAATAGAATTGACAATTAAAAATCTAATTTTAATGATCTATTTTATTTGTAAAAAAAAAGAATCTAAAATAATGTCACTGGGTTATATATGAAGTAAAAAAATGTGAAATAAGCATACACGTAACTACTAACACGTTTCAACAACCAGAAAAGCCACAAAATGCAACCAGCTGCAATGAGAATCTTTCTTAAAACCACAGCACTGATTACAAATATTGTTTTTTTTCTGTAAAACTATACTTGATCGGAATCAATGGTGGTTTTTTTTCTCAACGTAATCTGTGATGATCAAACTTGGCATAATTCATCATCGCTCTTCTACTAGGATAATTATCAATCTTATATAATGAAATGAAAAATATTATAATTTCAAAAAGACAACAATAGAGTGGGAATGAGCCAAGATAGAAAAACACAAGCATTAAATATAACGGAAAAACAACACATAAGAAAGTAGTAGAATATCAGTTGAAAAGAACAAACTACACCGGACAAAACAAACGTTAAATCAAAGTGAGGAAATAAAAAGATCAAAGAAGAAAACAATGTCCAATAAAAGATAAATAATCAGATTCTGGCCCCACTTATCTTATGGGAATTATTACGTTTAATGCAGCTGTACTTTTCATAACGTAATATATGTGTTTATGCATGATTAACAGGCACCACTACAGTAAAAATATGTTATGAGAAAACGCAGTGTATACTGACAAGAACTTATATAACTGAAAGACTAAAATTTCATATGGAACAGATACACAGATGATACAACAAGAAATTCTTCATTCTTTATGTTTATTATGTAACAATCTCACAACAACTGGTCATTGTTAACTCCATCAAAAATTAATCTACTACTTTGAATTTTTCGACCATTTTGGAACTAACACCATAACATATTGACTGTTCTTACTTTTCCGAAGACGACAATGGCTGTTGACCATTTTCTGGTTTCGGTGGTGAACCAGACTCTTCTGTGATTTCTGTCAAGTTACTAGTACGCACTGGACGTGAATGTGAAACAGAACCACGACTAACACCAGTAGAAATTAGTGTTGGAGGCTGAGGATTTGGAAGGACAACTGAATTCGGTACATTGTTATTGGAAGATAATCCACTGCGATCAATTAATTTGGAGGCTGACGTTCTGTGTAACAATGATTCTGACAAATCGGTATCTTTGGTATTTACATCCAGTAAACCTTCCAAACCGGTTGTCGATGATGATGGATACTTCAATCGTAAACGTGTCAATTCATTGTGTGATGTTTTTGTTGTTGTTTCATTGTTGACCGAAACACCTCTCTTATCGGATAATGATGCAGAAGGCAGAATGGTAGTAGCGAACGGTAACAGAGCAGACACCAATGAGGTTACCGAGAATGAGGAAAGATATGATGATGCTGATTCGTTTCTTTTTACATGATCAAAAGATTGATGAAACTGGATAGATTCGTTATTATTAGTATTGTTACTAATTCTATCTCTGTACGTTGAAGATGACGGTCCTATTACTAGATGATCTAATGATCGTGTTCTAAATTGATTATTCAGAAAACATGTTGGTGAATCTGATCCGAATCGTCTGAAATACATGAAATAACAACAAAAACAGAAATTAAAGTTAAACTTATCTGTGATTTATACTGTGAAATAAAATATTTCTGTCAACGGGAAATCAGTTAGGTCATACGATAATTGTTGAAGATTTTGAGGACTAAATGGTTTATTTCTCAGAAAAAACAGCTATATCAAATAATTGATATCAAACTGACAAATCATTAAATAACTGGCTTATAATTACATTTTTTAAAAACAAATATCCATCATTAAATGAGAAGGACATTTAATATTTTCATATTATTTTGTAAATTCGAATAGCGCAGAGAGATAAGTGAAGTGGTAAACACGCAAAACCGCTTCACACCCTGTCACTAGTTCAGGTGCCGACGCAAGCCAACCTTGAAACAACATTTTGCATTTCGAGAGGGAGAACCACACCCCGAACATGTTTGCATTGTTGCTTAGGGTAGTCAGCGCCTTCACCAAACAGGACTATGTCATCCGCATACTCTAAGTCAACAAACGTGTCTCCTGGTAGAAGGTCGACTCCTGAAAAGTCAGACAAAGATAATGTTAACTCTGAAAGCATACCTACGACAAAGTTAAATAGGAATGGAGAGTGGACAGCCTAAAGAGACACCACTTGAAGTAATCAATTCCGATGACAATTCGCTATAAGCTCTCACTTGGCTAGTAGTGTTCGAGTAGAGAGCTTGTATGGTACACCTTTGAGTGCCACTTTAAGGTCCAGAAAGTCAACTATTATTGGACCTGACAAAGGCTGAATGTGGTCTATACAGCCGCGTCCAGATCTGAAATCAGCCTGGTTTTCTTGAATCTACTCTTAAGGAGCTCTAATTAGGCGTCAGCGTATTATTGAAGCCAATATTTTAGACACTATGTCAGTCAGACTGATTCCTCTGTAATTGTTACAAGAGGACAAAATTCCTCGATGTGACAATTATTGCATATGATACAACAAAAAACGTTACAAAAAATGATTCAATACTAATTATATTCATCATAGATAAAATGACTGAAGAAACAAATAAATGAGGAGGTATAAAACTTAGTAAATCAATAATACTATTGAAGTCAAACATTTTGGACTAATCCCAGCGCTTGGAAGAAAGATCTAAGTTAACAATTACAATACAATCACACAAGTAAACCGAATTGACACCAATTCGGGTTCATTCGTGCTGTGCAATCAAATACTGAATCGATTTTGATTCAATAAATTAGCATAGTAATTTTCATGGTATAGCTCGCTTCTTAGTCGTTCATTTAACAAACAAGTTTTGTTTAAGGTGAGTAACGTAGTTTGGAAATTAAGTGCCTGAATACACACTATGAAAATTAATGTAGTCAGTGAATATAGCCTTAACATGTACGTACTAAACATATTTAGTCTTGATGTAGCTAAGTGATGAAGTAAGTACACATATGTATACTCCAGTTAGAATGTGAATAAGCCTTAAAAATGAACTAGTGATACTGATCAATTTCCTACATGAAAATAAGTGCAGGACAATTCAAACATGTAAACTAATCAGCTGAGTCTCAAAGATTAAATTATAAGCTTTATCGAATTGGAGTTTGGTTAGGTAATTAAAAAATCTTTCATGCTAGAGATATAGAGAGTGCAAGAAAAGCAATTTGACCAAAATAACATGAATTTGTTTCATTTTGTTGGATTCTGCTCAGCTTCTTATAACCTGTAATATTTATAAATGAAATTACAAAGCAAACTGCAAATACGAATACAAATGAATTTGATTAAGACCTAGTGTAAACATAAATTACCATAGTAAATTGAAATGATTTAATAAAATGATTACAAACATAGATATAGCAAAACATTCCGGAAAAGTGATAGAATGATAGATTAGAAATCAGTCAGTTGCAACGTAGAACGTTGGTATGTACGTAAATCAGTTCAGATGCTATAGTTGAACAGGTAGAGAAATAAGTGATTGAATAATGAGTAGACGCTAATAAAAAAAAGGAAGAAATGAGTGAAGCTTAGTTAGTCCAAAACAAAAAACTAGAAGAGAGTTGAAAAAATGACGTAACGATGCAATCAATCAAGACAAAGTTGAAAAGAATTTTACGATGCAACAAGTAATTGTTACATCGGTAACATTGGCAATTATAATTTTTAAACATCACAAATCGTAAACAGTTAAAGAAAATTTTAAAGTAGACTGAATTCATGTTATTCTGCTTAAATATCAAGATTGTTTTCACCAGAATTACTAACAGCATATTATTAGCTCCGTACAGAGAAGTTACAGTTTACTTGTTATTGACATCAATGCATTTTATGAGATTTTATTCTTACCATTATTCCGATAGGTTGTAATAGAACAAACGTACGAACTACCGTAGAACTATTTATTATTAAATTAAGGTTATCTGACATATGACATTATAGTCTTTCCGACAGGAGTTTTATGTGGGGGGGGGATTAACTGGTTCACAGTTATAAAAGTTGTAGCTTTCTTCAGTTGATCTCATGTCTTCTTTTGGCCGTCCCCAGCTTTTTTCTTCCTCACATGGCACTACTGATGGTCCATTCAACTAATATCTTCAACTAGTTTAGTAAGGAGTAATAAATAGGATTAAGACTGTGTCCAGGGGTTAGCTTAAATTTGCATCGATAGATAATTACTTCCAAAAATAAGTTTATTAATTACTTTGTAGGTATATTATATAAAAACCCTGTTAATCAAACACCAACATATGACATTAGATCGTGATTAATTGATTGATCGCATAGTTTGTTACATCGGCAATTTTGCATCAACTTAAAAAATAACACCACATCAAATAAACTAATTAAAACAGTTGAGTGCAGAAAAACTAGACATGTAAAACATCACATGGAAAATAATTAAAACTAATAGAAGCAGTAATTCAAATCACCATTATCGCCGCATACATTGACATATTTCCGTCAAAATAAAACAGACAAAAATAAAGGCTAATACTCCTCACATTCTTTGATATCAGATCATAAAAGTAATTCATCACTAGTTCAATCTTAACATCTATCTAGTGAAGTAAACTAAAACAATTTGATGTAATATATATATATATATATATATATATATATATATATATATATATATATATAACGGTTGAATGAAAAAATTAAATACAAAGCATTATGATCGAAATAAAACAAACAAGAAATGTGTTGACAAGTCCATTCATTATTGCAGCGACAATTAAACTGACCAAATTATCGTAGAACCAACGATCAGAAAATGAAACAATTAAAAAGTAACTTAAGTAATTCATCAACATAAGATTATGTAGTACGTACTGGGGTCTAACATACCATAGTTTCAGTCTTACCAAACCGAAGTAGGTCAATAAAACTTATAACCTTGTTAACTAATAATGCACAGATAAGTGTGTGATTCATAAAATGATAAAAATCTTATAGAAAAATAGATCAATAGTAAATAAAGTAATTTCGGGCATTCCTAAAAATATCTATCCAGAATAACTGACGGAGTGTAAAAAAAATCTCAAACATAATACCATAAAATGATAAACTTATTATCATATTTCAGCGTTTTCTTAAGGATATGAAAAAAAAATTATATAGGAGCTCAAATACAAACAACACACCAAAGTGCACAACCATAGGAACTCATAGAAAATGCTGGTGTTACAAAAAAGACACTAGGTAAGAATGACAAGACAGTTGATGAAGTAGTGAATCTTCATTAGTTGAGATGGTTGAGATTTGTGTCACACCTGCCTAACCACCGACTCTCTCGATGAGCGATGTTATCTGATGTCAACATAAGCTGGAAGAAAGCTAGAGGCCGTCAAATTAAAACACGGTACAAATTCATGAAGTCAGTGACAAATGGACTGAGCCATGATATAGTAGGTGTAGAATACCTGGCTGAGGTTCACGAGATAATAGTATTCGGTGGTTAGAGACTTTGAATGACATGTCTCAAAATCGTTTGCAATGACGCAGATTCAATATTATTTATCATAAGGGGACTTCATTGATTTGACTGTAAATGCTTAGGTGCAAAACACTATTTTTATCCTATATTAATGAAAATTAGCCTGTCTAAACAGTGCACAATCGACATTTTTGTGCTCAATGCCTCCCTTATGTGCAAGCAGCACGATAATTCAAGTGAAGTAATATGTTAGAACTTGACAAAATAAATGAATGAAAATTATCTTAAAACTAAAATAATTCATAGCCATAACACATTGTAACTCGCATCATTAAAGTGAGTACAATAAACTAATGTCTGCTTTCAACATTATCACTGAGAAAAAATTTTAAAAAAATCAATTATTTAAAACGTTTTATTTAGCTTAGACAATATATTTTATCTTTAGCTTAAAAACTATATTAAAAAGAGCTTTGCGAGTAAGTACACAGAACTCAATAACATTCACTAAACGAACTGTGAATTATTTTAATTTCACATACAAGTAGTTTATTACATTGATTATTACATGGAGAAAGCACTATTTTTCAATAACAAAATTCAAACGTTGAAATGTTACTACTTTACGCCTACCTAAAAATCATAAATGTAATTTCTGTGGTAGAAAAAAAAATAATCGTATGTAATCATCATAAGTACCAGGATATCTAATAATATTCATATATACACTAAACATGACACTATTGACTACCATCCGTCTTTATTTCGATGTGCTAGTGCAAGTATATAAATCTCATTTCAATAAAAAATTACGGCAATACACATGTATGTAACATATTCTATGCCTATATTAATCAAGAAAATTAATTAACTTACTTTATATCAGCACACTTTTTTAATGATTCTTCAGCTGATTTCATATTTGGTTGAACTGTGTACGTATGAAGAGAAATAGTCAAGGAGAAAAAAAAGCACGTTAATATCGAATCAACCAGAAACTTAAATACACATCATCAGACCAATTTAACCACCTCGCCTGCATTCAATTCCATACGATTTTTAAAAAGAAACTGATATGCTTGAAACTATTACGAGTTCACCTTACTCGGTAAACGGGACGACTGCGATGAAACAGTGTGACACGTGGGATTTGATTTGACATTTGCGTCTCTGTGCTAATGTGGTATGGGCAACATGAACTTATGTACATACGTATGATGTTCTACGTTGCAACTGACTGACTGACTGACTATTCTAATCCGTTGTCACCGGCTCGGATAACTATATCAGGAATTCTTCATATGGCATAGAAAGTGTATTCTACAAGCACCCAGAAAATACGAGACTCACAAGCACACAAATCGAGCTTATTTATGCACGATAGAAACGTCCTTGGGAGCCAGAAAAAAAAGCGTACTAAAATAATCCATCAGCCAATGACAGCCAAAGATTTTCCGAGCTGGAAATGCAATCTCAAGGTCAACTAAGCAGCTTATGTGCGAAAACATAAAGAATCCAAAAACAGAATCTACTTCAAGTGAGTTCTGGATATCGAACGTCCCCAACAGAAACACAACTTTTATTTAAAATAAAACAATAATTTGATAGTAATAATAATAATATCCATGCACCTTTATTGGTCTGCATATTCAGCTGTCAAGTGTTAGACATTATCATGTGCAAATTAGAAATCATTTATCCCTAAATAACATTTTCACATCATGTGCGTGCGCGTGTATATGCATGTAAAAATGATTAGATTTGTATCAAGTTGATTAGCATCAGGCTTCCGAAAATTATGGATAAAAACATACAAATAGTTGAGTGAAATAAGTGGAATTTGTTTTGCACAGTGTTAGACTATGTTGCAATGTAGGATTCAATTTTATTCAGGTTGCACAGCATAACGTACGGATAAGTAATTATTAGGGTAAAACAATAGTATTTCATAGAGACTGCACAGAGATTCAGTAGTAATAATAATAATTTTTTTTTTTAGGTAAAGAGAGCTTTACCTTGTGGTACATCCGAAGATGAATGAGCAGTCAAACTATTACTGCATTCAAGTTGAACTCGGGAACTGCTTGAAATAGGTGATGATCCCACTGAAACAGGATGATGTCGAGAGTCAGTAGTGTTAACCAATGTCGGACAGTTTACGTTCGTTGAATCGGATACTCCAGCACGACTTTGAACTCCAGGTAGTGGGGCTTCAAAAAGTGCTCGGGTAAAACTAGGAGTAGCTAAATGCTGCCAATGTTGAAGAACATTAGAACCATCTATTGGTTTAATCAGCTTCAAACGTTGAGGCAGACTAAATAATAATAATAATAATAATAATAATAATAATAATAATAATAATATACGGTTCATAAAATTATCACAAACACTTTAACTATTGTTATCACGAATGATAATTGAAAGCAGAAATATATATGTAACCCATCTACTAAATACAGATTCTTATACTCAACTTCTACTTACATCTAACATGAAACGGCCACTTCTATAAACCATTTTCTCAAACCAAATTATGTGCAATGAAGTTCAAACATCAGATGGATTACTTGAGATTTCAACGCTCTTACTACTAAACTAGTTTCTCACGAATGTAAAGGAAATAATCCCGAAATCAAAACGGAAATAGCCTGTAATCTGAGAAATCTTATTGTTCTATACGTCAGCATTATTCTTTACTGCGGTTACCAAAAGTTTTAAACTTAAACTAATGTTCTACTACCTATCTGACAACAATCAAACTACTCCAACTAATATATATGATTAATACAATGCTACTAAGAATCAATTTACACAACTTCTGAATAACAACTCACGGAAATGAAGAGATAACAAACAAAACTACTGATGACAGTACAGTTTTCTGTAAAAACCAATCATAGTTTACATGAAATTAACACCGAGATATTATTTCGGCAGATTTCATTTCATAGAGAGAGAGAGAGAGAGAGAAACACACAATTAACTTCAGAAACTTACTTCCGATATGATTTACAACTGCACACTACATTTCGATTATACGATAGTAGACTATCATCAAAGCTGTTCTGAAAATTCATTCCACTATCACGAATTGAATAATATCCTTTGTCAGATGATGAATTACAGGTTACACCACAATCAAACCAACTATGACGTTTTTCGGACTCCAATAAATAATTCGGATTTGTAGGTTGTTGAACGTGACGATTTAATTCGTTGGATTTACTTGAAGGTAAACAGGCAGAAAGAAAGAGAGAGGCAGGAATACATACATTGATTTAACAGGGATATAAGGTTAATGTATAAAGTGGCTGACGAATTGACATCTGATATGTAACACGATAAAATTTATTGATATTCTTAAACAGATGTTATTGTAGGATAGGTGGATATGTTTCTATTTCTGCTTTCATTGGTGTAGGTATGCATTCAGTCAATTATAGAGTAAAACTTCGTACGTATGTACACCAAATTACGTTGCCATACCACATTAACACAAAACTGAAGGCTCGTGGATCGATTCTCGATGGGGTTGTGGAAGCGCGTTCCTGAACCAGGACAAAACAGATGCTCAGCGATCTCTAATTTTCAATGGCTGTCTACGATCAATTCATGATTTAAATTATGAAGACGAAACTAGGTTTTATATATCTATAAGCAGAGTTGTTATGCACCACACGATACAGTGATTACAATAGTACGTAAAGAAATAGTAAAATGAATATAGATACCTTTTTTCAGCATCTAACAAATGAATAGGACTGAGATAGTTTGAAATAAGTGGTCTAGTTAAATATGGACTTTCAGAATTTGAGTTTTGTTCACTTCTATGGAACTGATGCTTGTGAAGATTACTTGAAGGTTCTGAAAAAAATACCAGTTAAAACATAAATATATACATGACTCATTTAACATATTTAACATATAAGCATTTTACAAAATAGTGTCATGTCTGATATCATCAACAAAGTATTATTTAACTACACGTCTATATAATATAAACTAATGAGTAATGGAGAGTTGACATTTTGTGCAACGAGCATAATGAACCATCGATTTGTCAGCTGAGCCAAGTGTAAATACGCACACTGTATGTTGATCACTTTTCAATATGTATACATGAGCACGAGCTCTTTATATTATTGCTTGACAAATGAGATCTTGATTTAGTAGGATAAAAAGAGTATATGTTAGTGGATAGACTAAAACCCACATCATATAATACATAATTTACGCGTGAATAAAATACATGAAAAGTTTAGACCAAGTTGTCTTACGCAGTTAGTTCAATTCTTAAGAGCCGATTACATAAAAAATATATATATTCCCAAAAGCAATTCAATAAAAACATGAGAACTTATTATTTCTAATTTGCAATTTTAATCCTACAACTATGTAGACAGATATCATTAAAATATTAATTATGTCTCAACTAATCAAGTTTAACGAGATAACTGTGGAAATTTATGAAGTATACATACTAAAATGAAAGAAAACAATGCAGACATTGTATTTATTTTGTTATATTTACTGATTGACAATTTGTGTATTTTTGAATATGATTATTTATCAATTACAAAATGTACTTATCAATAATCGATCATAACCATATTATTAGATTGTAAAAAAAAAGTCTGGAAAAACATGCGAATACGTGAATACACGTAGACAAAGAGTACTAACAAGTACAAGAAACAATTAACATTAGAAACAGTTAACAATCGTTTGCATTACAATAAAAACAACATGAACATCTTAACACCACATGTATATACATTGTACACAATTAGCATAAACGTAAGCGAAGTGAATATGAAAAGAAAATGAAGCGACGAAAATTACCTGATCCACTAATAAAACCACTGCTAGACATGGTATCTTCCACACCTGATTCAATTAAAACAATATTATGATTATTGTTACTATCATTATTAGAATTAACTGTGATACCAGCAGTGGAAGGAGCACTACTACTGAGTGTACGCGTATGACGAACTTGATCCATTGCTCGAAGTAAATGTTTCCTAAAGTGAAGTAAAAAAATGGAATTCGATTAAACAATAAATAGATAATGTAAACAATATAACAATAACTTCACACTGAAGACAAGATCTTCAAGGCATTATCAACAACTAGAACCTAGTATAAAAATATGGACAGGAAAAATTTGCAACCTGAACAGAGTATAAAACTCAATGCGGTAAATAAAAATTCTTTTGATGAATTAATTGCATGAAAAGTTAAACAATAGAAAATTATATTATACTAGATTTTATCGTGATTTCTGCATTACTAAACCTTCAAGTTCAATAACTCGGCACCACTATGAACTACGGATATTTTAAAATCTTGAAAGGCAATTGATAGGAATCAATAGAATATAATTTCTGTCAATTATTGTTAAGAAATACATAACAATAAACGTGGTACATCGCTTGCCTATGATTATATGGTGGCGTTGATTTGAGAAACTATGTACAACATTGTGAATAACTCAAATAACAGGTATTTAGTCTTCAAATTATTGCATCATTTATCAGGTGATCTGGACAATAGATTAAAACAAACTTAAAGCATATGATGGGACAATATTTGAAAGTTATGATGAAAAGTTTAACAGACTTTGATAATAATCACAAAACATACATATTATCTGTTGCAGTTTCTTTTATTTCTACAGCTAGCGAAGATTCCAAGTGCTCTGAATCCGGATTTCGTGTAGTCAACATATCCAGAGAAGATGTACTACCATCGCTAACTACCTGATAACCAGATAAACACGAACGATGGCAATCATAGAAAGGATTCGGATCTGACTGTGGGGTTAAAGCAGCTCCATTTGAATAGGAAGATGGCATTGTGGGTAATACTGAATTATTCAATAGAGAATTACTCGGTATAAGTGAATTAGGACGATAGTAACCACGACGAGAACGTTTACGTAAGGTACGATTTTCAGACTGAAAGAATAAAAATACAAACAATTTAAATGTTCAATGCTATAGATAGTGCTAAAAGAAAACTGAATTGTATTATAAACATAATTATTTGGAATTTACAATAATGTTGATCATCCAGAAACAACTAACTAGCTCATTTATAAAAAACTTGAACAGGGTTTAATCCGAACAAATCGAATGAATAATATGCGACTTTTCTAAAAAATAAATTCTGCTTGCGTTTTTTTAATTGTACTTCTTTCAGTCTCATTGAGTTGTATTTTTTTTTCCAATACTGAAATCGGTTTACATAAACAGACATGTCATCAATTACTGTGAGGAAGAAATTAGACAAATACATAAACCAGCAACAACATTGAATAAGACTGATTCGAACAACGTATCCAATTATTTAAACCAATCATCAGAGGTAGGAAGAGAAGCGATTCATAGGAGAGAAAGTCTCGATCAATAACCAATGATAAAATGAGCTTCATGAAAATCGAAATGTAATCCATATGTGAGTGAAATGATGGATGTGTGATTCCGATCCCAAGAAATGTCCATATATAAACAAGACTCGTTACACTAAATTGCATTACACAAATACTTTTCCGAATCCTAAGAAAATTAGGATTAACTATTCCAAAACTTCTAAATATATTCATAAATAATCAAACGAAGCCCTACCATTTCTTCTTATATCGTTTTAAAAAAAAGAAACATTTTACAATGGTTGCAATGAATCTACAGGCGAAAACTTTTCGTGGCAGTCTTACGATAGAAACCGACATTCTCCACAGGACACAAGGAAGAAATTTCTGACAATGAATTTATGAACATAAAGCATAGAATCTATTGGCAAGATACGAGACCGGGATAGTCATTCAAATAGTAGCGGAAACTAAAAGCTACAACCTGACTTCGAATACAATAAGTGAAACCAACTGAACACAATTCGAACAGAAAAACGTACTTGGGAACAAAAAAGGAATTAATTACGACGAATGTCATTTGCTGCTACACACCAACCAGTCAAAACAGAAATCATAAAGTTCACTTTTATGAGAAACTACAGTCCACACTAAAGAAATCTCTACGAAAACATCTGACTATCCTGATACCATATCTCAACGCTAAGGTCCAGATCAACAGCAGAGGATACGAATACTTCATGAAATCGTATTACATGAAATAACATGGTTAGTGGTAGAATTTTTCCCCATAAGTTAACACATCAAACTACGTACGTTTCACTGGATCGTTCTAACGAAAACCAGGTCGATCGCATGAATGGAAAATTCAGTAAACGAAAGAGTAAAGAGAAGAGCTGAAATAACTTCAGATCCACTATCTTTCGGTAGCCAAGCTACACTGAAGTAAACCAATTACATAAGCGGTATCATATAATCAAAGTGTAAACCACTGTGGACAGTAACTAAGAACGGATTAAAGAAGCAATAGTTTCAATGTGCCAGCAGATGCATCAGCATCAAGAATGGATAGCTGTAGGCAGCCTGAGCAAGATTCAAGAAAGAGAATATACAAAGAAAGCCGTCAACAACAACCAAACAAAAGTAAAAAAGTCAAAACACGCGATCATTATGCAGAAGCAAGCAGATGAGTGAAGAATATTATAGATGACAAGTGAAAATATGTAGAACACATACAAACTACGCTAGGAAAATCTGTCAGAAAAGGACATATGAAAGAGCGACATCAATACCACTTGGCAATAACTCAAAAGATCTCAGTCGTCTGCAGATCCCTGATCAACAAATTGTCATGAGAGGAGTAATGGGCTCAAGTAACCAGTATTCATATTCCATTACTGCATGGAAACAAACAAAGCTATTGTCCTAAAGATATTCCCTACGGTTGTAAATCGAGCAGTAGATGAATACTAATGATAATTTCTCTACAAATGTAAAAACAAAAGACGAACAGTAATCTTCCATCTCAATTATCTATGTTTAGTAGAAATACAAATAAACAAAATCATTAATTCTGACACAATTATCATGATTAATAATAATAATTACCCTAGCTTCATTATAAAGTGTTAAGCACTCATCATATTTATCACGTGACGTTTTCAATTCACTTGCCAGTAACGAATATGACATTTGTAATTCATTCAGTCGACTTACTAACATTTCATTTTCTGTTGTTAACTAAAGGAGAGAAGAAATGCAACTCTTGACAATTAGAATATGGCATCAAATAAGCATAAACGAGAAAAAATAGACCAATAATGATTATAAACTCAGTGGATAAGATTTTAAATAGGATAAATTATGTGGGATCTATTGTAAGGAACATGTTACTTTGTACTTAATTTGACCGATGGAGAATTATGGAGCTTGGAAATGGCTTGATCACACAATATAACAATGCTTGGTAAAAAAAAGTAACTATCAAGTATATACGTGCAGATTCTACCTTGGCGTCGTGGTCAGGCTCTCGTATTGTGATGATCCACTCAAGCTTTATCGGGTCTACCCTTGGTTCGACGGTGCCAGACAGGTCGATCGGAGGACGATAAGACTAAAAGCAGCAACTCAAGGTCTGAGGGCGAAGTAGTACTGCTGATAATAAAGGCGTGTGACAGCAGTAAGGTGTCTCCAGAAGTAAGATCTTTTAAACAACAGCGAACCAATTACCTTAAAAACTTCTCATAAGAAAGCCGTGCATGACCGGCCTCAAGCAGTTGTCCATTCGGTTCTGTGGTCACGCTCCCAGTTCTCTAAAGCCAACGATAACCTACCTTCCTTTTCAGGTTCTTCAAGAAACACCCTTTCACGGTGTGGGCAGCCGGGAAGTGACATCCGCCCTCATACCCGTAACAGCACATGAGACCAGATTAATCACAATCATATCCTTCCTACACCCCTTAAAATCTCTCTCATCTCTGTGACTAGCTCTTTCCATATTCCTTTATCACGCCGCACCGCTAATGCATACGATTCGAGTTCACGGAATGTCATTCCTGGTGTCCTGAAACCACGTTCTGGACTAAATATTGGAGCTATTAATGTCCGGACAATGAGCCAAATAGCACAAGCTTTATTAACTACGACTCTGGAATCCCGTACTCTTGACGCATGCAGCATACAAGATCCGAATAGTGACGAATTCGAACCAACTCTCAGTTTACGCTCCGTGCATCTGAAAGCCCTGATGCTGCTTCCAGTGTCTTCCCTGGTGCAGGTACAGTATTAAGTCCTGTGGCAGGACCAGCTCTCCTAGACTGGATCCCAGTTGTTTCTGCGCTGTCCGACTAAATGGGACAGCACGGATTCGGAAAAATAGGAAAACACGCCGTGGCCCCTTCGTTGTCTCTGCCTACACTCCCACTGACTGCAGTTCGGACGAGGTGAAAGGTGAGTTTTACAGAAAACTTTCGGAACTCCCCAAAAAAGTTAGGCGCTTTGATGTAATAATAGTTGCTGGTGACTTTACTCAAGTAGGTAGACTAAGAGCAAAAAAAAGACACCTAGGTGGATCTTATGGTGTTGTGGCTGATCGAATCGATAATGGCGATCATCTATGCTCAAATAATCGCTTATTTCTATCAAACACTAACTTTAGGAATAGAGAAAAAAATCTTTCGACATGGCGACCCCGAATTCGTCCTAACGCTGGACCCAACTAGATCACATCGCTATCAGCCATCGGTGGAGGGGTTTGTTGGAGGGCTGTCAATCGTCCTGGGTCACATGTGTAGATTCATATCATTCTGTAGTGAGAGCGCGTATTTGTTTGCAACTTACATGACGTAGGAGAGATACCACACGAAAACCTAATGTTCTAACTAGTAATATCATAGCGAAGAATGTATTTCAGGGACAACTGGAAAAGCAGTTAGGCGGTCATGTAAGTGATTCCCACTCAGATGCAGCTTCGGACAGTATCTAAAAAGCCGCAGAAACAGTAGTAAGGTAAACCATAAAGTTAGGAAGAAACTTTGGATCTCAACAGCATCCGCCAAACTGATATATGCTCGGAAACACATCCCGCCTGGCTCTGAACATGGCAAAGAGGGAAGTCAGCTTAAGCACAGGCTGATAAACAGCCTACGCAATGATTGCGAACAGTGGTGGGTGGCGAAATTAAAAGCGATAGAAAGGCAGCTATAATAGGTAACAGTAGACAGCTATTCAGGCTTATCAAGGAAACCAGTGTTATAAATCCATCTGTTAGTGAACACAATCTCCAGTCAACCTGAATAGCAAATAGATATAAGTCCTACGACTCTAAACGAAGTTGGAAAAGCTATAGAAAATCTAAGGCGAGGGATATTAACAGACACTGATAGATTATTCTATGAAATTTTAAGGGTGAGGGTTCAATTTTAGTAGCTAGGTTGACTGAGACCTTGCGTCGAATCTGGAAACAGGACGTAATCTCATCCGACTGGCCCTAATCACTGATTGTCTAAGTCTATAAAAAAGAGAAAAGTCCTCTTGTGAGGAATCAGTCTGACTAACATAGTGTCTAAATTGTTAGACGCCTAACTAGAGCTCATAAAGAGCAAACTAGGGAAAATCAGTCTGGTTTCAGACCTGGATGTGGCAGTATAGACAACGTATTCACACCCCAACAGGTCCTGGAACAAAGACACACATTTAGGCTTCCGACAATCGTTGTCTTCCTGGGTATTACAGCAGCAATTGACTCTGTTGATTCTGAATTTCTACTGCAGTGTCTATCATTAAAAGGTGAGCCAGAAAAGTACATTAAGCTTGTACAAACTCTCAAATTCAACACTACTGGTCAAGGTAGAGCTTATGTCGAACTGTCATCGGAATTCTTTACTTTGAGTGGTTTCCATCAAGGATGTCCACTTTCTCCATTCTTATTTAACTTTGTCGTAGGTATGCTTTCAGAGTTAACATTATCTTTGTCTGACTTTTCAGGAGTCGACCTTCTACCAAGAGACACGTTTGTTGACTTAGAGTATGCGGATGACATAGTCCTGTTTGGTGAAGGCGCTGACTACCCTAAGCAACAATGCAAACATGTTCGGGGTGTGGTTCTCCCTCTCGAAATGCAAAATGTTGTTTCAAGATTGTCTTGCGTCGGCACCTGAACTAGTGACAGGGAATGAAACAGTTAGACCGCTTCACTTACCCCAGGAGTCTCTTCAGAACTGATGACCTGGTGTCTGATGAAATTTCAGCACGGATACAGAAAGTCTGATTGGCTTTTGCCGATTTGCGTTAATTAAGGCGTAGACCGTTTTCTAACTAAACAACGAGTGAACAGCGCATCGATCCGCTCCGTCCTACTATATGGCTATGAAACAGCCGGTAAGAGACGATATTCGAAGGTTATTAGTATTCGATGATAGATGTCTTAGAAGCATTGCTCGTATATCGTGGGACAACCGAGTAAGTAATGCTGTCGTTAGGAAACAAGTATAAGGTAGGGATGGCGAATCAATAGATGAAATATTGAAACTTCATCAGGTGATGTGGTTGAGACATGTGTTACGTATGCCCAACCACCGACCACGTCGACGAGCGATGTTTTGTGGTGTAGGAATAGGTTGTTAGGAAGCTAGTCGCGGTCAAGCCAAAACATGGCACAAATCTATAGAGTCATCGACAAGTGGACTTAGTCACGTTGGTAGACGTAGACTACCAGGTTGTGGTGCGCGAGATGATAGTAACCTATGGTTAGAAACCTTGAATGACATTGCTCAAAATCGTTCGCTATCGCGCAGGTAAATCCACTCGTTTTGTTCTACAAAATTCTAATCTTCTGAATTCCTCATCACCTCTATCTTTCTCTTTCTAAAGTTATCTCACTGAATTATACTTCTTGACTAATATTTTTGAACCCTAATCTTCTCCATTACCGCTAATACTTCCACTATTTCTACCACTATGGGATGTGAACTGACAGATGCGTTCCTGTGCTAATGTGGTATAGCAGCATGAACTTTTGTCCGTACGTACGAAGTTCTACGTTGTAACTGACTGGATAACTGACTGATACAGAAATCTTATACGAATGATTCTTCCAGATTCTTAATCAGTAAGTCACAACTAATACTTTATCATGGATTAGGAAAATGAAATATTTTCAGATCAATAAGGCTTAAAATGCAAGAGCTATTGCCATCACCTTTTACAAATATGTTTAGCTTGCAATCATCGATCATAAATAATAAACTGATGTGAAGCATACTATTATCGTTGAGAAACATTCGATTCAATACTTTGAACTATAACACAACTTAAAACAAGATGAATTGAATAGTAAATGCTGATTTCCAATTGCTGTTTGACTGATATCAATCTTTCTAAAAACCGATTATCGTCAATTAAAAACTAATTATTCACTAATCGAATAGGTCATAATTTCTGATTGATGATATTTAGAACTGTCCTTGTAGGCGCATCCTAGACGGATTTACCCTACATGTTATGTTATGCAAGCATATCCAGTTGCAGGTAAGATTTGGTCGGTAAAATACATTTTGGAGATTACGGAGTGAGAATTCTATACACCAATAAATGGCAGGTTAACAACTAAGTATTTAGATATCCAATAGTCGAGCAGGCTCAATTCTAACAATGTCGCAAATACCCTTTATCGCTTTACAATTTGGTGAGAATAAATATCTTAAACAATAGAACTAATAATAATAATAATAATAATAATAATAATAATAATAATAATAATAATAATAATAATAATATGCTTGCCTGTCTGACACGATTTTCTAAATCTAAATTTCTCGTTAGTAGACGCGTATTTTCAGATTGTTGATTCATGTAGGCATCAGCTTTTTTAACTAATTCATCTGATAAATTATCTATACGCATATTCGCGGCAATTAATTCACGTGTACAATCTCGAACTAACACAGTTTCATGTTCATCTAATTTATCTGCAGTAGCGGACAATCGATTACGCTTAAAATAAAAATATAACGATTTTATTACAAATCAAATCGATTATAATACTGTTAGAAAACAAAAAATATTCAATATTAAACTTCAGACAGGTAGCATAATAGATGTGAAGATCTGTAGAAAGTACATTTGAAGTACGAACATACTTCAAAACAGTAAATTTATACAACTGATTTACTCACTTAGGTACAAGGGTGATTGTGGTGGAGTTTCGTTCTCTGAGCAGGATTTTTTGGTTATGGAGTCTTCATTGGTCTTATCAACAACATCATCAGCAAAAAATTTCAAGTAGAAGTCAAGTATTTGAATTTCTCCACGTATTACTCGTAGCCTGTCCTGCTCACCTCGATCTTGATTGGTTGTTATCGTCCTTAAAGCTGGAGTTATCTGCATTATTATCTTGATTGTATGCACCCCTTTGGTCTGTTTATGATTCTATGTTTATCTATGATTCTTTTCTAATTGCTTGATGACGTTGATCATTGTGTATTTGTCTGTTTATTGCTGACTGACTTGACTGCCAAGATTCGAATTTCCAATACATCACTTCTACTTGAAATTTCTGCTGATGATGTTGTTGATAAGAACGATGAAGACTCCATAACCAAAAATCCTGCTCAAAGGACGAAACTCCACCACAATCATCCAGCCATCCAAACATTTTCTCCACCATCTCGATGAAGTTTCCAGTTATTGAAGCACTCGTTTTTCAACTAATAGGATGCAGATCTGATCTCCACACCACCTTTGATTCGTCTAACCAAGTTTCTTTTAACATATACAAACTTTTATTTAAGTGGATGAATGAAGTGTTTGATGCAACAAGTGATTGGATCACGTTGCTCCATATGAAAGATACTGGCATTGTACAAGTAAATACAGAATGAAAATTATGTGAACGATAAAAAAAAGTGCCAAAAAAGATAATAAACCGCTAAACATCTAATATTAATATGTCACTATCCCTGTGTAAGATATGGTGGTTTTAGAAACACACAATTGAGAATTTTGATTATCGAGACAATCAACAGACACGCAGAACAACTCAGTCAGTCATCTACAACGTAAAACTTGGTACGTACTCACATCAATTCAAGTTGCCATACCATATTAGAACAGAGAGAACTAATCCTCAGTTCACATTCCTTAGTTGCAGAGGTCGTAGCAGTATTGCCTGTAATTGAAAAGTTTGCAGGTCGGAAATATGATTCGACAATCATAACCCAGTGGGGGAACTTGAAACAGAGAAAAATAGTCATGAGCAATTCAGGATATTAGAATTTGAAAGAACACAAAGAGTGGATTCACCTATGCAATCGCAAACGATTGTCAACCAAGTCAGTCCAGTCGGTTGCAACGTAGAACTTCGTACGTATGTACATAAGTTCATGTTGCCATACCACATTAGCACAGAGACGCAAATGTCAAATCAAATCCCATAGTGATAAAGATAGTAAAGGTATTGATGGTAATGAAGAAGACTAGGGTTTGAAGATATTATTCAAGAAGTATAATTCAGTGGGATAAGGTTAGAAAAACAAAGGTAGAGGTGCTGACGAATCCAGGTTATGATTCGAGAGAGCTCAAAGAGTGGATGCACTTGCGCCATTGCGAACGATTTTGAGCCATGTCGTTCAAGGTCTCTAACCATTGGTGACTTTCGTCTCACAGACCCCAACCAGGTAGCCTACATCTACCAGCATGACTCAGTCCACTTGTCAGTGACTTCATAGATTTCTGCCATGTTTTGGTTTGGCCGCCCCTAACTTTCTTCCAACCTACTCCTACACTGCAAAACATAGCTCGTCGGGGCAGTCGGTGGTTAGGCATACGTAACACATGTCCCAACCTCCTCAACTGGTGAAGTTTCAATACTTCATCGATTGATCTGCCATTCTTACCTAGCACCCGATTCCTAATAACAGCGTTGTTCACTCGGGTGTCCCACGATATACGAGCAATGCTTCGACGACACCTATGATCGAAAACCAGTAACCCACGAATATCTTCTACTCTTAACGGCCATGATTCACAGCCATAAAGTAAGACGGAACGAACTACTGCGCAGTACACTCGTCCTTTGGTTAGCGAACGGATATCACGCCTACGCCATAAGTGACGCAGGTTGGCAAAAGCCAATCGAGCCTTCTGTATCCGTGCTGAGGTTTCGTCAGTCACCAGGCCATCAGCACTGATGAGACTCCTAAGATAAGTGAAGCGGTCTACACGTTCGACTTTTTCACTCCCTATCACTAGTTCAGGTGCCGATGCAACCCAGTCTTGAAGTAAAATTTTGCATTTCGAGGGGGAAAACCGCATCCCGAACATGCTTGCATTGTTGCTTAGGGTTGTCAGAAGACTCTGCATTTTGTCAACATCTTCACCAAGTAGGACAAATGTCATCGGCTCATTCTAAGTCAATAAGCGAGCCACCTGGTAGAAGGTCTACTCCTGAAAATTCAGACGAGGATAATTTTATGTCTAGGAGCATGTCTATGATAAAATTAAACAAGAATGGAGAAAGTGGACAGCCCTGACGGACACCACTTGATGTAGAGAATTCCGGTGACAGTTCGCCATAAGCCCTCACTCGACCAGTAGTGTTCGAGTAGAGAGCTTGTATAAGGTTAATGTACTTCTTTGGTACACCTTTCAATGACAGACACTGCCACAGAACCTCACGATCAACAGAGTCAAATGCCGCTTTTAGGTCCAAGAAAACAACTATTGTAGGATGCCTAAATGTGTGTCTGTGTTCCAGGACCTGTTTGAGTGTGAAAATGTGGTCTATACAGCCACGTCCAGGTCGAAAACCAGCCTGGTTTTCTCGAGTCTGCTCTTCACGAGCTTTCGTTAAGCGTCGAAGTATTATTGAGGCCAATATTTTAGATACTATATTAGTTAGACTTATTCCCCTGTGATTGTCACAAGAGGACTTCTGTCCTTTCTTGTAGATTGGGACAATTAGCGACTGAGACCAGTCAGATGGGATTACGTCCAGTTCCCAGATTCTACCTAGGATCTCGGTCAGTCTAACTGCTAAAACTGGACCACCATCCTTAAACATCTCAGTAGTAAGCCTATCACGACCTGCAGCTCGTCCTCGTCTCAGATTTCCTAACGCTTTCTCAACGTCATTAAGACTAGGAGGACTTAAATCGGTTCGACATTCAGGATGACTGGGGATCGTGGGTGACCGAAGTGTGGCTGAAGACCAGTTGAACTGGTCCCTAAAGTGTTCTGCCCATCGGTCCAGTCTCCTGGATTGAGAATGGATATTAAGACCATCCTTTTCCGAGATAGTCTCACTCACATTCGGGTTCCTAGTACCGGTTTCTTTGATAAGACGCAAAAGTTGTCTAGTGTTGCCTATCGCCGCTGCCTTTTCCATCGCTTTTGATTTCGACACCCACCACTGTTCACGGTCGTTACGTAGGCTTTTTATCAGTCTGCGCCTAATCTGACTACGCTCTTCATCATGTTCAGAACCAGGTGGAATGCGTTTTCGAGCATCCATCAGTTCGGCGGATGCGATTGAAATCCACGGCTTCATTCTAACCTTATGGTCAACCTTCCTAGCAGATATCACTGTTGTTTCCACAGCCTTTTTGATATCATTCCAACCTGACTCCAGGTGGCAATCACTTGGATGGTCGCCTGACTGTTTTTCTAATTCCTTCTGAAATATTTTCTTAGGTTGATTATCATCAAGTAAAGCCGTAAGAGGCTTCCTTACGGTGTCTTTTCTATGTCCAGAAGTCTCGAACAAATACGCGCTCGCACTAAGGCATGATCTGAATCTAAACATGTGCCCCAGAACGAGCGACAGTCTTCTATCGAACCCCTCCATCGGTGGCTGATGGCGATATGATCTAGTTGCGTCCGACGTTGTGACGACTTCGGGGGTCGCCAGGTCAAAATGTGTTTTTCCTTATGCTTAAAATTAGTGTTTGCTAGAAATAGTTGGTTATCTGAGCATACTTGCAACAGACGGTCACCACTGTCTGTTCTCTGAGCCGCGAGACCATAACATCCACCTAGGTGTCTTTCATTTTCACTTAGTCTACCTACTTGAGCATTAAAGTCACCAGCCATTATAACTATATCAGAGCGCTTGACCTTTTTTTTGAAGGAGGTCCGACAGCTTTCTGTAAAACTCATCCTTAACCTCGTCTGGACTGCAGTCAGTGGGGGCGTAGGCAGATATGACGTAGAGGCAACGACGAGTTTCCCTATCCTTTCGAATTCTTACTATCCCGTTTAGTCGGACGGCGCACAAGCGACTATCTAATGGGATCCAGTCAAGGACAGCTAGTTCTGCCCTACGACGCAATGCTATACCTACACCAGCGAGACCCCTTGAAGGAGCATCAGGGCTACCGGATACACGAAGGGTAAATCGAGTTGCTTTATCTTGACATGGCGAGGTCAACTGAATGATGCTACTCAGATCCTGTATGCGCGTTTTCGAGACGCAGCACACATCGATTGAGCGAGATTCTAATGTCCTAGCTAAGGAAGCCTGTTGCTCTATTTGACACAATATCCAACATGCAATTCCGAACGGGGTTTCAAGAGACCAGGAATGACGTTTCGTGAACTCGCATCGTTCGCATTAGCTGTGCACTGTGATAAATGAATGTGAGAAGAGTTAGTCGTGGAGATAAGAGAGGTACTAGGAGGTGTAGAAAGGATTTGATTTTGAAAGATTCGGTCTCGTTTGCTGTTACGGGTACGAGGGCGGTTGTCACTTCCCGGTTGACCACACCGTGGAAGGTTAATTCTTGAGGGACCTAAAAAGGAAGAAAGATTAGTGTTGGTCTTAGAGACCTGGGTGCGTGACCGCAGAGCCCAAGGGACAACTGCTTGAGGCCGGTCACGCACGGCCTTTTTATGAGGTCTTTTGAGTGTTAGCTCCGCTTTTAAAGGCCCTTAGTAGGCACCCTTACTGACGGAGACGGAAATCCGTGAGTTAGGGGAGGTGTGACATTTTTAGGGCCGACCTTCTCTAACCCTTCCTTTCTTGTGAGAAGGCAGTATCGCTGCAGATGCTGCTTGTTGTCCGAGAGAAACACCTTACTGCTGTCACACACCTCTGCGGCAAGCAGTACGACTTCGCCCTCAGACCTTGGGTAGCTGCTTTTAGTCTCATCGCTCTCCAATCGACCTGCCTGGCATGGTAGAACCTTCAGGAACATAAGTTCCAGCCAATATAGCTCGGTTGAGTCATCACGATAGGCAAGCCCGACCACCACGTCAAGGTAGCAACTTCAGTCGGAATTGTCGACCATATCATTCAAAGTCTCTAATCAAAAGTTACCATTGTCTCACAGACACCAACCGGTCTACATTCATTAACATGGCTCAGTCCATTTGTCGATGACTTCATAGATTTGTGTCATGTTTTGGTTTGGGAAACCCTAGCTTCTTTCCTGCCTATTCCTACATCAGACAAAATCGCTCGTCGACGTGGTCGGTAGTTGGGCATAAGGAACACGTGTCTCCTCAAACATCTGAACTGATGAACATTAATTTAATTACTTCATCAACTGATTTGCCATCGTTATTTAGTACCCTTGTGTCAATCCCAGCATTACTTACTCCATGTTCCGAGGATATACAAGCAATATTGAAGACAACTATAATCAAATACTAGTAACGTACAAATATCCTCTATTCTCTCTCATTGGCCATGTTTCACACCTGTCATGAAAAACGGAGTGAAGTGTTGTCGAGTGGAGTCGTCCTTTGGTTAGCAAACGTGTATCTCTCCTACGCCATAAGTGACGTAAGTTTGTAAAAGCCAGTCGAGACTCCCGTGCTGAGATTTCGTCCGACACTATGCCGTCAACAGTGATGAGACTTCTAAGATAAGTGACGCAGTTGGCACACTCTACTACCTCACCCTCTATCATTAGTTCATGAATCAACCTAAGCCAATCCTACATAAACTTGGAACTTCGAAAGGGTGAATCGCATCTCGAACACGCTTGGATTGTTGCTGAAGGTAGAATTAAGCAAACAAAATGTTTAACACCTCAAACACCACAGCGACAGTAATCAGTCTTAAACGACCACATTTGAATGATTTTAATGCATAACCAATTGGCAATAAACTAAACCGAAACAAAAAGATACTTGTAAATTATTAAATAATAGAATGATTAAAGTAAGTTTTCTGAAGATTGAAGTTCAACAGATTTATCCACTATTAACGTTGCACGACATTAAAGCATTAAAATAACGAGTAATGTGGTAATGAACAGACATCACGCTTATTGCAGTGACTACAGAAATCTAGGAAAATAAGTGTTAGATAAGTGAACATTAAAGAAGACCTTGTTAATAAAAGGCATAAATAAAGTCTACAAACTAACACTGTCATCAAGTAGTAGTTCCATTGAAACATAAAAATACAAGTTGAACAAAGACACATTTCTTTTCAAATGATTCTTCGTTATGACATCACACTAATATATAAGTTTTACAATCAACAATAAAATTAATACGTGGTCGTAATATTTCCTCTTAAAATAGAATAGTTCAACGGATACGAAACCACACACCACAATCAATCATGTAAGAATAAAATAACAACTGAGTGTTAAATTAAACAACTGAATATAAATGCCTAATGTTACTTCTAAAATCAATAAGAAAACTAAACAACCAGATCATTAAGACACAAATCATCAACGTAACAATAAAATTAGCAATTCGAAGTGAACGAAATTAAACATTCTTCTTAAAAAACATAAGTGATGATGTGAGTCCATTCTGTAACTTCCTATCGAGCCCAGTTTAACGAGGGGATGCTGAGATGACACGATCCAAGGAAGGAAATTAGGTAGTCGTGAACATCGACCAGCATGACATGGAAAACATGGATTACCATGATAAATTATTGACGTTAAGTACTACGCAGTCAAATTACATAAATCTGATTGGTAACCTGATTGACTGTACAGAAATCATTGAAAAAGCAGTGTATACAAATATCGTTTCGATCTATTTCCAGAATGAAATAAAACCATATCACCACAGTCATCGTTTCTACAAAACGCGTCGTCAAATTAGGGATTTTCAGTACCAAGCACAAGTCAGTCAAGTATTTCCGCGAAGAAAATGGGACCTATCACCCTCATTCGAATGTCCAAGTCTTATTGATACATTTAAGAGAGATCTCATAGATTCACAACGGGACAGTTCAACTGAGTGAACTTTCCAGAATTTCATAAAGACAAAGAATAACCCCCAACATAGTCTTTCTCTAAGGTAGCTAGCTCCCCAGCTGAAGTAATATTCGAAAGAGAAAGCTTAGCAATTCACTTGATGTCATGCATCGGCAGAAAGAAAAGCAAGTCTATAAGACCAAGGTTATGTGTACTGAATATGAATCATCCAACGGTCTACTACTACACTAAATGCAAGAAGCTTTCAACGGTGGTGGGCCTGTCTGGATAGTTGGTGTCATAAGGATGAGTCGACATAACACTACTTTACGAAGGAGATTAACCAGTTAGGAATAGGTGTCAATAACGTACTCGTTATCAATGCACAATAATATTTAAAGGCAAAGTGTAATTATAATCACATCAATTTCTCAATGACAACCTATATACACTTTAATAAATATTGATATTCAGTTACAACATTGACGCATGCATACCTCTTGACGTAGTAGATTATTTTCTTCTTCTAAATCTTCAAGTTTTTTATGCAACTGCGAAAAGTTGACTGAAGACAAGCAAAATCCGTTGCCTCCACCGGCACTAGACCTGTCAATAATAATAATAATAATAATAATAATAATAATAATAATAATAATAATAATAATAGAAATAACGAAAACATGACATCAAACGTCAGTGAACAATTAGTCGTTCTAGAAACTAATCGATATAAACGATCTTGATGATCATCGAAAGATTTTTGATTGCTTTGCTGAGGATTGCTCATATATAGTCAAATAACGAAAACATATTTACCTTAAATTCATCCGACAAAATACAAAGCAGACTGATGTATTATATGTAGAAAACTGTTTGCAATGGCGCAGGTGAATCCATTCTCCATCTTGCAATTTATTTTAGGCTTATAAATCCCTCATAATATTTGGTATTTCACTAATTTACATATTTTGGAAACGTGAAATACCGTTAGCAGCTCTACTCTTCTGAGATTGCCCTAGCAATTTTATTTTAGCGTACCAATGAAGTCTGGCATCTTGAAATGATGTGTGTACCAAGTATCACTTTGTGACCGACTGAAAGAGAGAAATGTATTTACTGTCCGTCAACCAGATATTCAAGTGTTTTTAAGATCAATACCGGTATTGAATAGAAGGAATTTTGCAATAATATTAGTAATTATTACTACAGTAACCACAACTAAAAATCACGTGACGGTACAATATCGAGAATCCCTTAGGGGAAAAACTAATTAAACACAAATAATGCAGCCTATCACAAGAAAAAAATAGAGACGTCCTAGATAAAGAAATTCTATCAAACTAACATTTTTGAAACAATTTTGGTTCGACCACCGGAACAGCTTCTAAACATACAAACAATCATAAATAAGGCACAAAATAAGCAGTGAAACATTTTATATCAGCAGCTTCTTTATTAGTGATACAATGTCTTCGGTGTCAATCATCACTTCGGTCTTTTGAAGATGTAAGTTGAGAACAGTATGGGAAAAAAGCAAACGCAGAAATCCCGGAATATTGAATACATGAGACAGGAAAAATAAGATAATTCAGTTGCGAATAGCGTAAATGGGAAACTTCAATCCACATAGTTTTTATATCAAACTTTAAAAATGTATGTATATATATCGAATAATTCAATCAAATGTAACAGTTCAACTAATCAATCGGAATATATATACTTTTCTATCATAATCAGTACTAGTTTGCACAATGTTTGACTTACGAAATACCAAATTTCACAGACATATATATATATATATATATATATATATATATATATATATATATATTGAACATATGGTGTTACTATTCGGAAAAGCAGCAATAAGACATTCAATCATTTTGTATTAAAATATACCGCTAATTGGATGATCCAAGTCATAGCCCACACTGGTTAGATAATTTAATACGTGACCTTGCAAAAATGTGAATGAATGACCCCGCTAGTGACCGAATACACAATATATTGAGGCATACAACGAATGCAACATACAGTTCACTTAGTTGGAGTCCACGTTCAGTCTGTTTATGTGCAGATGCGCCGTTAAATAGTGAAACAAAAAAGATTTCCAACGTTTCTTGATGTCAAACTTTGAACGTAACAGTCTTTACAACAACCCATAATAACCATTCAATAACTATTATATTCAGAGTATAAAAGCAATGAATACAGTTATCTCAATGTGAGGTTTTATAGGACCAAAAACCACGTAATTTTGTGAGATGGAAAAACCGTTCAGTTCTTATCGTTGTATTATTCATGTTCTACCTACAGTATATAGTAAGACTGAAAAAAAGCACACTCATACACTGGACAAAAAATGATAATGGTCTCACACTTAATCCTTCTAGATGTCAAAATGTTAACCTGAGACACGAGAAGCACTTCAAAACCCTGCTGGAATTTTCTAACGAGAAACTTCAAGAATCACTTGTCATAGTGCAAACTTTTCCCCCTGATCTCTCTTGATTGCTAATGTTTTAACAATTTCGAAGAAAATTTTCCGTTCGATATTAACTTTTACGATTTGTAAATATTTATATATTACCTGTCATTCTCTACTGTTTCTTATTTATAATACCTGGTTTTTTGAGAAATGATTTGGAGAGTGCTAAAGACAATAGGGTATGTAATGAGTCTTTTGAGGTCACTCTGAATACAGTTGTGGATAGACATTTAAAATCTTGCAAACTCCTAGCAAGCATAATCTTGTTAGATACCATATACTTTATTCACATCTTTCTCCGAGTATATCTTCTTGCAGAACGTGACACTGATACATTAGAACCCATGCACGCAACAAAAAGTATAAAAGCTCTACCATATCGTATCTTGCTAATAAATGATGCGACGAATAGGTTGTAAGACCTAACCTAGTAATAATATATAAAGCTATTAGTGATAATAGCAATTAGAATAATAATATCTTCAACATTAAAGACATAATCATTTATTAATAGCATCTTTGTTATACAAGCAATCAACGTGAAAATATCTCGAAGCAGATTATATTGACATCAACTTAATGTACTAGAGCACATGATCAAATTGCTTCAATTATTCTTCACATAAAGACAAATTGTCAGAAAAGAACAATGAAAATCAATACATCAATATATGTGTACTAAATAAAGCCAACATTAACTCCGAATGACAATATGAAAAGTAAGTAAGTTGATCCATCCTATCATTCATACAACTTAGAAGTGAACTGAACATCATTATCATACAGTTTCATAGTGATTACATACATATTACAAAGGAGATTACTGTTAACAGTCTATAGAAAAAAAATCAGAAGTTATAAGAGATAAGAATTTAAAAGAATCTCAATTTGTGAAAAGTATTGAATACTAAAAATGTTACACAGTACGAAGTGAAGAACATAATGATTTTCCACTAGTAATTCCGTCTATAAACTAGTCAAGAATTAATTAAAGTACATTTGCATATTCTGGAGTAAAAATGCGTTATTATTTTAAACATCATTAGATTATCAATTCGATAAGAAGAAGAGTGACTGTATTGAGAAAATTAGTTTTTGTGACAAGAGAAAATACATACATACACACACACAAGGTCACGTGACTTGAAGAATCCATGCACACATTTACACAAACGTGAAAACACAAGGAAATATCTTCTATGAGGTAAAATGTTATAGAGATGAAAAAAATATTATGTCTCAGAAAATCAATGCATTTTACAACAGATTTTTTTAGTGAACAATTGTATAACATAAGGTGTTTATCAGATAGCCACAAGAAATCTTAGGTCATAACAGTGTTAGCCAAAAAATAGAATATTCAAACAGCAAAATTAGTTCTCATAAATTTTCGCACGTAGCACATAAAATAAATATAATATTGTTTCTATGCTTATAACTAACTAACAACCATCTACTAGTCCCGCATTAGGATCAAGATGCATTTCATTTATATGACGTCTAAATTTATGCTTGAACATAAATTCAATACCTTTGATGTTTGGCACGAAAGTGAAACCCTACAGTTTTGTCCTTAAAAATAACTTTATCAAAAGCCTAAACAGAAAGCAAGGAATAAACAATTATGCATTAAGAATGTCCATTATATTCTGTGCACTTTAGTTAAAGTAGTATTTCAAAAACTTCCACCGACATAAGAAAGTAAGATGGCAAAGTGAACAACTGATAGGTAATCTTGACAACAAAATCGTTAAAACATGTCTAACAAGCTTGGATACAAAAGTAACTAATTTAATCATTGATTTCTTTTCCAATATAATTTTATACCGAATGACCGAATAGAAATAATCGGATAACCTAACCATAAAAGTAAAATTTCATTAGCTCAAAATAGTAAATGTTACTCAAATTGAGAGACAGTAGAAACGATAAAGGTAAACTTTTGTACTAATCAGTTCAGGAAGCACTCGTTCCACGTCAGTTCATTATTTATTAAGTATATTTCCTGATTTTCAAAACTCCACACCAAAACAGACTATTGGATTAGAATATTCTTACAAATTTAAAAATAACTAGGATAAACTAATAATCCAAGAAACAACGTAAGTGGATCAAGAACTACGAGATAAGCACGAACGAATCTATTGTATTTAAAAATTCGAAATCAAGCATTCAACAACAACCAATAAGTCACTAGTTCATAGAGAATGCGAACATTCCTAAACCATACAATCCTTACTTAACCATTTTGTAATCATTGTCCACAGATATGCCATGTGCTTTTCACTTTTTAAGCGTAAACTACTTTTAAAACACTGGCAGCATTCTGAACCTGCACTCAATCTCGGTAGTGGATAGAGTCAGTCAGTCAGTTGCAACGTAGAACTTCGTACGTAAGTACATCAGTTCATGTCGCCATACCACATCAGCACAGAGATATAATTGTCAATTCAAATCCAATAATAGAAGAGGTAGTAAAGGTATTAGAAGTAATCGGAGAGGTTAGAATTAGAAGATATTATTCACGAAGTATGATTCAATGAGAAAAGTTTAGAAAGTAAAAACTAGAGGTGTTGAAGAATCCAGAAGATTAGCATTTGAGAGAGCTCAAAGAATGGATGCACTTGCGCCATTGCGAACGATTTTGAGCCATGTCATTCAAGGTCTCTAGCCATCGATTATTATCATCTCGCGGACCCCAACCAGGTAGTCGACAATTACCGACATGGCTAAGTCCACTCGTCAATGACTTCATGGATTTCTGCCATGTTTTGGTTTGGCCGCCCCTAACTTTCTTCCAACCTACTCCTACACTGCAAAACATAGCTCGACGAGGCAGTCGGTGGTTAGGCATACGTAACACATGTCCCAACCACCTCAACTGATGAAGTTTCACCACTTCATCGATAGATCTGCCATTCTTACCTAGCACCCGATTCCTAATAACAGCGTTGTTCACTCGGGTGTCCCACGATATACGAGCAATGCTTCGACGACACCTATGATCGAAAACCAATAACCGACGAGTATCTTCTACTCTCATTGGCCATGTTTCACAGCCATAAAGTAAGACGGAGCGAACCACTGCGCAGTACACTCGTCCTTTAGTCAGCAAACGGGTATCTCGGCTACGCCATAAGTGATGCAGGTTGGCAAAAGCCAATCTAGCCTTCTGTATCCGTGCTGAGATTTCGTCAGTCACCAGGCCATCAGCACTGATGAGACTCCTAAGATAAGTGAAGCGGTCTACATGTTCGACCACTTCACTCCCTATCACTAGTTCAGGTGCCGATGAAACCCAATCTTGAAGCAACATTTTGCATTTGGAGGGGGAAAACCGCATCCCGAACATGCTTGCATTGTTGCTCAGGGTATTCAGAAGACTTTGCATTTTGTCAGCGTCTTCACCAAGTAGGACTATGTCATCGGCATATTCTAAGTCAATAAGCGAGCCACCTGGTAAAAGGTCTACTCCTGAAAATTCAGACGAGGATAAGGTTATTTCTAAATTTTGGATAGAGAGGATAGAGAGAAATAGTCGAAAACTTCATGAACGCGGGTATCTGTGTAAGTGTTAACAATGGCTCAAGCGATGAGGTCGGTTCGCGTATACTGAAAGCCAGAAAAGTTTATGCCAATCTGGGCCATCTTTAGTGCTTTCGTGATGTAAGAATATCTGTCAAACGTCGGGTCTAAAAGGCGTTGGTTGTAGTAACTTCGCTCTGTGTTTGTGAAACCTGGTATCTCCGAGTTGAAGATATTAAGAAACTGTGCATTTAATTATCGTTGCCTCCAAAAGATTGTTGATATGTATATACACATGCATATAATATCGTTAAATCTTAATGTATACACATATGAGTATGAAATTACTTCAGACCGAAATATACGTTTGTTTACGGTGAAACAAATGATGTGATCGGAACATCAGAATAATTAATAGCTCATTAATTTTATGTCAATCCAAAACGGTGCATGATAAGCGCATGATGAAGAATAAAAACGCTTTTATCCACAATACAAAACACAAACAAAGTAATATGAATTAATACGAAGTGAGAGATAGGATAGATTATCTAAAAGTACAAAGAGTTTAATAGGTTATTACTTTCGTGTCCTACCTACAAAGCTTCTAACTTAATAGTAAATCTTAACACCAGTCACTGGCAGTTTGCATTAGTAAGTAACTACACTCCAAAGTCTAGTTGGATCTCATTCGAACCGGAACAACAAAACTAAATCGAAAAAAACAATATCGTGAAGAAAGAGAACAATTACAATAGAGAAGCACATAAATTAGTGCCTTCAATTATGGTCAAAATTAGTGTAACCAGCTGAGTGCATCACACTCAAATTAATTGAATGAAGGAACACCACCAGCTCCAATCTCAATCATTTTCCTTCATATTACTAGAAATAACTTAAAAAATAAATATATTTTGTCCTTAACAACGAAGAATCAAAGGATGTACAAAGGTGAGATCAATTTAATTGGTAAAATGTAAAAAAACAACTGGGCAAAACAACGATCACATGCGTTTTATTTACAACTTAACTTACATATGCATACGTACAAATTTACAAAAACAATTCTAGAACAACGAAAGGGATCATTAAACAATAGATGAGGCTATGCAAAAGTACAAAACAGCCTTTACATTATAAAAAGATATTACTGGGAAAAATACATACAATAAAATATGTTAACTACTTAAGACATGTAAATCTATATACTGCTAAATAAAAACTGATATCACACACAAAATTCAACTATAAGGTGTGTGTTTCTTCAAACTATCCTGTTATAACTAGGAGAGTAACTTTCTCTCTCTCTCACTGTCCATCATTTGGAACAACAGTCCTGTAGCGGGGCACAATGAAATTACGAAAATAAACCGAGTTAAGCACCAATGCACTACGAAGACCTGACGCCATAACAACATATAGCAGAAAATGAGTCATCGTACCTGGAAGCTTCTTTTGAAAAAGGACAGACAAACAATCAATAGTTAACAGTTCTGCCCCAACATTATAATAATCGACCTTAAGGTCAAGTAAACAGTCAAGTGACTCATCAATGGGTATGAGCAGAATTATTTTTCGCTACATCGAAATGGTAAGAACGAGAAGTGAAATGATTTTGAGAAATCAATTTCCTTTTCTCTGAAGAAAACTAGATAGAGTAGAAAATAAATCTTCTTTGAATAAGGTTAGCAATGTTAAGAAACAAGTATCTAATTGCTGGAAATGAAATTTATCCCATTGTAAGAAATCTGCTCCGAAAATATTTCAGTAATAAGAACACGGAACCAAAAATTTTAATCAGATATACGATATGCAGACATTGATATCATTCGACTACAGGTAACTTCGAAATATTACAGTTCAGTGAACGAGTACGTAATGATGAGTAAGTAAGCGAAATTTACATACACACAATTTTAATGCATTTTTGATTAATAATAGCTAACTCTTCAGCAAAAGTTTAAATTATTTTTCCCGGTTGGCGGTTTTTAGCGAGTTAGATTTCTACGGTATGGGGTAGCCGACCTCATTCCCGACGCTTCTCTATCCGGGATCGGGACCGACAGTAGCCCCAGAGGGGCTCCTTAGGTCTATCCTTCGTTGAGAGTAACAAGAGAAAGTAAGTAAATAGAGTAATTGATCATCAATAGCGCTTACTATGATACACGGAGTAAATATGTTTTACCCTCATTAAACTTCCACTTTAAATACACATGGAGCCGAACCGAATTATTATCGGAACACATGAAACGTTAACAAGTCAGCAAACTATAAGCCAGTAGTAGGTATTCAATTAGGTTTAGTAAGTAAAATAAAGAGAATAAGACTACAAAAACAGCTGAAGTCATTGTACAGTGAGCATAAGGAATTGTAGTTATAACGTTGACGGTTAAACAAACTACCCAGTCATAGTTTTCCAAAATAACTAAGCGATCTATTGCTGAAATAAACAGGAAAAAACTATTCACTAATGAAAACTTACGATAATCCCTGATGACTGCGAACAGGTGATACACGGCCACTGGATACTATGCTAGACTGATCGTCATTTATATCAGTAATTTGACCGGAATCTCTTAGGAATATACGTAGTAGGTTATCTTTCACTGTGAGATTATGGTTCAATTGGCTAATCTGTAACAATACAGGAAATATTTCTTTAAACATACGTACATAGGTATAAAAAGGTATCAAATTAAATGGATTTGTATGTGTACTATGTTACTAACCATGCGCCCAAACCGAAGCAACCGCTTTTCTGGAGATGTCACTATACAAAACGCGACCTACGGGTCTAATCCACAAGGCAGTGGAGCAGTCAGTCAGTTACAATGTAGAACTTCGTACGTACGTACGTACATAAGGTCAGGCTGCCATAACACATTAGCACACAGATGAAACAGTCAGTTCGACTCCCATAGTGATAGAAATAAAGTATTAACGGCAACGGAGAAGATTGGGGTTAGATGATATTATCCAAGAAGTATAATTCAGTGAGATGACTTTAGAAAGAGAAAGGTGATGGGAAATTCTGAAGATTAGAATGTGAGGGAAGGAAATTGCAAACGATCTTTAGCTACGTTAGCCGATACAGTCCCATGGTAACCGGTGGTCAACAATAGGTGCATACGCCAATCGCTCCACCAGGATGCTGGAGCCCACATGCACCATCGGCTTAAAATCAGGGTTTTCCAACTCCTCTAAGTGGATACTCCATTTTCACAAACCTTGTTAAGGCGCTGGAAATTCGCTTTTCATCTTCTCAATTCCGTAAACATCATTTCGATTACGGAAAGATGATTATAACTTTTCTGATGATAGCTATATACACGTGATTATGTCCAAGGAATTCGAGGAGTGGACTCTCCACACCCTCAGCAGTACCAGGACATTTTGAGGACTTTATTCATACAACGAATATTAATTGAACTTCACACGTACGTACACCAACACATTAACACAGAGATGCAATTGTCGATTCAATACCATAGCAGTAGTAATGAATGTAACAGTTGAAAAAACAATGGTGATAATAAACGAATTTTGTTCTATTTCATTAACAAGACACAAAAGAATTCCAGTTGAAATTAAGAAGAATTATCACCACGATAAATATATGCTTAATTCAAACAAACAAACAGGTAAGTAGTGTCATAAAAGATTGGTTTAGACATTGATCACATTTGGTGATCACACTATCAACAAATAAGATACAATTTGTTAAAATCACATTTGAAATAATCTCAGAGATTGAAATTCAAATAGTTCCAACATTTCGTCCAGTAATCTTATCTGAACTTCTTTAGGCTAATACGGTTTAAATATAATTTTCACGATTAATGTCTCATATTATAACTCGATGCCCGATTTCTGTCAAACTATTCGCTCAAATATTGATGAATATATATTTTATTAGTAAGAAACTATGAATTTTAATTATTTTGGAAACTGTTCATTTAACTGTAACAACAACAAAATTAAGCTGATTAAGCTACAATGAATCACATTTTACGAGTAGAGATAACTAACCCTACAAGAGTCTAACTTACTACTTCATCACGATCGTTTACACTTTTTTCGGCTTCCAATAATCTTGACTGAAGGTCATGCACTTTCGCTAGTAGATTTTTACCAATTTTCGCTGCCAATTCAAGATCTGTTTGTTTCTAAGATAAAGCATAGAATGAAAAATATTTTCAAATTGTATTCAGAGAATAAACGTTCGTTGCAATTATTCGAACAAAAAAGAATGCCAGAATATATATTGTCATGCATATACTATAAGAAATAAACTGTAAAGGCTATTGAAAATAGAGTATTCAAACCTAGTTTAAATCCTGATCGCCTCTTTCTACACTCATTTGTAACATAATCTATGCGAAAACCCACTAGAAATTCACATATTAAGTAGTTGAAAACACACACATATACCAACACTCTTTCAACTATTTACAGCCCCAAGACAAGTTTAAAGTCAACATCGGCAATATAAATCTTTCGATGCTAGAAATCCTTACTTCAAATCCTGAATTCTCATTACTACTAATGCTCGTTTAATCAATACACGTCATACAATTTTACACTAACCACTGTAAAATACCAATTTCTATGTAGTCGCATTCGAAAAATGAATAGCAAGAGAACAATAACTCATAAAGTTATCATAATTCTAACGATCCTTGTGCGCGGGGAAGATATATGTGTACACACATGATACAGATAATCTGAGAGTTACGTTGACACAATTCTATCCACTTTGTAGACAAATTAATTTCGCTCATCAATAATGAAAAAGACTACTTACTTCTTCCAACAATTTTGTAATTGCATCCAAATCTTCGTAAGTATGAGTCATTTGACTAACTCTCAAGCCACAAAGAACTGGAAAAAAACAGACCAAAAGTAAATACCATCAATGAAAACATTTAACCGGATATCGTATAAGGCTAGACGCCACGCAGTAAACCAAAAGCGTACAGAAATCACTTACATAGGTAAATGATTATACACTCACATAGAAATATATCATATTAATACATGTCCACTATACGGTTAGGAACACGATGTATTTTATCATAATGAATGGGATCAATCCATGCATTGATAATAACACTGTACACTGAAATATCAAAACCTATAACAAACAAATGCATTCCTCTCCAGACATAACATTTCACGATAGTAATCATTAGCTTAGTAAGTAGACCATTTGTATTAAATGTATTATCTCCATAAAATAGTAATGCGATCTATGAATAAGTAAATGTAGTATTGCAATCAGGTTTCCATTTTACTGTGCCCAATTTAATGGACCTGATGTAAAGTTTCTTTTAACCGTAAACCAAATCAAAAAAGATATTTCTTATCTCAGTACCCCATACACATTCGATTATACCTTATACACAAATTAAACTCAGAACAACTAAGGTCATTGATGCATACACATTCTAGAACTTCGTAAACATCGATAAACTACAAGAAAGAAACAAAAATATTCGAATCGTTGGAACTCAGGTCGATCAATCAACTCACAGAATAACCTAATTTTTGAAAGTGAAAAAAACTAATCTTTAACACTCCGAATATACAGGATCATTTCAGATAGAAAATCATGTGGTAGGTAAGTCATCGATGCGATTTCATTGATGACTGGTATGCATAAATCTTTCAAACATTTGGTTATTTTGAAATGATCCGACTTTTATTAATATATCCAGTCGCTTTATAAGTTTGCTTTTTTCAGATTACGTTTTAGGACTATAGATAAACTTTAACGTCGTTTCCTATTATGATCCTACACCCGGAAACTAATCAGGATGAGGTGAGAATTATTATTTTTGCTATCGTAACCCAAGATAGTCGCCATATTTCGTTCTAGGTGCTTTTTCCTGGCTTAGCAGTGTCACAAACGTGTTTGGTGTTCTGGTGTGACGGAATATAAACATTTATGGATGAATCAACAACACGTAGGCTTGTACACATGATTTACTTGCAGAAAATATGGTAGTAAGAATACTTGAATATACTATCCCTGTATTGGACAGAAACTAGATCGGCACAAACTGAAACACTAGCTTACAAAAGTAAATCAGATGGGAAGATAAACTAAGTAAGTGTAAAAAATGTGATGACTAAAACAGCAATCATGGTTTTTTTCGGACTAAACCTAAATGATTTGTCAAGACAAGTTACAAATACCGAGAAAAGGACACACAATTTGACTGTGTAAACTGTAGACAATAAACTTTCTGACAATAAACTAGGACCATAATCATCACATCCAGCTAAGTGAAGTATTTAATGCAACGAAGAATTGAATCATGCTGCTCCACATAAAACATACTGGGTTGTATCGGCATCTGAACTATGCGTCTACTAAGCAAAGGACGAGCTAACTGAGCAGCAGTTCGCTCCGTGCTATGATACGGGCGAGAAACATGGCCAATGAGAGAGAATAGAGGATATTTGTACGTTACTAGTATTCGATTATAGGTGTCTTCAAAATATTGCTTGTATATCCTGGGAACATGGAGTCAGTTTTGCTGGGATTGGCACAAGGGTACTAAATAACGATGGCAAATCAGTTGATGAAGTAATTAATGTTGATCAGTTCAGGTGGTTGAGGAGACACGTGTCCCATATACCCGACCACCGACCACGTCGATGAGCGATGTTGTCTGATATAGGAGTAGGCTGGAAAGAAGCTAGGGTTTCCCAAACCAAAACATGACATAAAACTATGAAGTCATCGATAAATGGACTGACCTATGTTAACTGATGTAGACCGGTTGGTGACCGTGAGACTTCGAATGATATGGCTCAAAATCGTTTGCGATAGCACAGGTGCATCAACTAGTTGTGTTCTATGAAATTCCAATCTGCTGAATACCTGATCACCTCTATCTTTCTCTCTCTAAAGTTATCTCACTGCACTATACTTCTTGGATAATATCTCCGAACCTCAATCTTCTCTATTACCACTCATACTTCTACTACCACTACTTCTACCACTATGGGAGTTGAACTGACAACTGCGTTTTTGTGCTAATGTGTTATGGCAGCCTGAACTTATGTACGTACGTACGAAGTTCTACGTCGTAACTGACTGAGTGACTGATATGATTACAGTGACCAATAATTCGACTTAGAGAATGTATTACAATCTGGAAAATATCATTTACAAATTATTGCAAAACAATATAAAAAGTACATTATAATGTATCTTTGAGCTATAATCGAATGTAATTATCTACAATCGATGAGGAAATCTATGTTGGATTTACTATGAGCGATCGAGACTCGCTATAACAACAATTAGGCAATGTTTTAACGGTATATAACGCGTTAGAATAAACTCATTTCTAACCAATATATATATGTATATATATATATATACATATATATATATATATAAATATATATATATATATAATCTTTTGCAACAATATTTAGCATTAGAGACAAGTGATACGTGCATGTATGAATAATATTAAGCTGTATTGTCACATAAACAACAATGTCATTTTATGTTATTATCTGGGGTAAAATAATAAGCAATGATATCATATCATCAAGAAACTTATTATAACAAGTTTATAATTAAGAAATTTCTCAACCAAGTATAATCATAAAATAAATTTCTAAAGAGTAAAAAATGCATCAATAATTATACACTATTAGTTCAATACACACAGAGACAATGCACACCAACTTATAATCATGCTTATAAACATATTTTTATGTAATAATCGATCAACTCTATATTTAGATGTAAAAAACAAAAAACCAATCCTACTTTTTTCAAGTTGTAACACGCATACTACGACAAAAGGTGGATAAAAGAAACACTGAGCAGATTCAACTGTAATTCGGTCCTAGTTTCTTTCGCCCCATCTTTTTAGCTATCTTATTGGATAATACATACAATCGATTTATAGGGTATGTGGAAATGAAAATTTTTAACTAAAATGGACTAGCTCCTTGGTTCAACACCTATGGGCCATGATCTATATGATTTGTACGGTTTTCCAAGAAGTCATGGCCACGCGCCAGGTTTGTGAGCCTTGAGGAACGGATTTTTTCCAGAAATGCCACCTGGCATCCCAAAATGATGATTTACTAACCCCCAAGGCGTGAATGCCACCGCACCATAGGCTCCATTGAATTTATTATAATTTGATTTCTAAAGTATTATTTATCATAATGCATATATGGCATTGACTTATTTTAACTCTACAATACTTTTGTTTTGATGTGACTGTCATGTGATGAAGTATTTTCTTCTTGTAAGTCCAGAGACACCTAACTTTTACACACTATTACAACACTAGTTTAATTAGATTTTGCAATAACTGATCTAGCTTTCACACTCCAATTATGGTTGCAGAAAAGGGCTTGTATTATTATCGTGAAGATTTATCAGACAAGGTTTAAGTAAAACGTAAATTTTAAAATAATTCATAGCTAATGAGGAGAACAATAATGTCGATAGGTACTGATCAATGGACATCAAAAACAACCAAGAAAAATAAGCTCGCATTAAGACTTATTAGTTTCCTAGACATTCTATTGTTTAAAACTAGGTAGATTCATAAACTTGCAACTCAGTCGGTAGCGATAATCCGAGCGCAAAATATAAACAGAAACTAAATGAAGAGTTAATAGAGAGTATTTTGTCTTAGTTCCGAGACTCTTTTTAGTCCAATTAATCTAACCCATACAGGAGAAAACATGCAGTGTTTTCATTATTGCAGTTAAGAAATCGACTTTCAGTTAATAAACCGAAATTCAATTGTATGGATTTTCTACTATACTAAACTAGAAAAAAGTGCTATTTTGTTGCTATAAATCATTTCATCACATTCTTCACATAGTTAGCTCAACAAACTTATGGGTTATGAACAAGTTTAAATGATAAATTATCTCAATCTGGACAGATAATAAACACGGATTGTTGATGTTGGCTATTTAAAAATGTATCCTGGCAACATTTCAGCTTATGAATTCTATACTTACGCGCTTACTCACTACAAAACAATATTTGATTTTCCTTATCAACAATTAACAATCTGAAAGGGTTCGCTTCTAAAAATACTCATTATTAGACAAGAGAAAGTTAATAAACAAATAAGATAATAAACAGATGGAAAGTAGTTCCTAAATTAATTCACATTAGACAAAGAATGATAAATAGTATTGAGTATGTAAGGGTGTGGCTGGTTTGCGATAAAATTAGCATAAAATAGACGAATTTATTATGAAAGGTGATCAAAATACAGATGGCAAATGGTGTCCTGAAACAATAATGATAATAATAGTAATAATAATAATAAATTGAACCAACTACTACTCAGGAAAAATAAATATAGAATTTAATGGCAAATAATAGATTACTCATTCTTACATACAAAGTGACAGTGAAATAATTCATGACATTCAAAATGTATATGACCTAAAAGTTCATGAGGTTTTATAATAAATGAATTTCTTCATAAAGATAGAAATACAAATTTCGCATAGATTTATTAAATGTCATCAAGGAATAGAAAATTTTAGAAACTAGAAGGACAAATATTATTCAGCTCCAAATTTCTGGAATTCTACATCTATTTGATTAGAATCATACATCTACAAAAACAATCTAGAGCACTGATGAATTTCTTTAGATACTTGGCAAATACTGATATGATAAGTGCACGGAAACTCATCCAGCCTGGCTCTGAATTTGATGATGAGTGAAGTCATCTTCAGCGAAGGCTGATAGAAGTCTACGCAATGATCACGAACAGTGGTTGGTAGCGAAAGCAAGAGAGATGGGAAAGGCAGTAGCGATAGGCAACAGCAGACAACTATTCAGACTTATCTAGGAAACCAGTATTACG